TACATATTTATGAGATAAATCTGTAAGTTTTACAGAAGAGGAATCAGAGAAGCTTAGTAGGTCAAGTAATATTAAGTCCTGAAATGCTTCCTCTACAATGTGTTGTTCAGTTTCCTTAATCGTGTGTGAAGAGGTGAGCAGTGGTGGGCGGGGGAGTGAAGAGTGGTGATGGGCAGGGGGGCAATGAAGGGTGAGGAGAAATAAGAAGCATCAAAAGGCCCTTTCTCAGGCTGGATGTGGTGGCTAACACTTGTAACACAAGCACTCTGGGAGGTGGAGGCAAGTGCATTGCTTGAGCTCAGGAGTTTGAGAGCAGCCTAAGCAAGAGCAAGACCCAATCTCTAAAAGTAGCCAGGTATTGTGGCAGGTGCCTGAGTTGGCTGAAGCAAGAGAATCACTTTAGCCCAAGAGTTTGAGGTTCCAGTGAGCTGTAACACCATGGCAATCTACCCAGGGTGACAAAGTAAGACTCTGTCTCATTAAAAAACAAAACAACAACAACAACAACAACAACAAAACACCTTTTCTTTTCTTGGGGAAGCTGCAGGGAAGAGGCAGCATGATCCAAGGCTCGACTACAATGTAGCTGGTTTCCTCAAAGAAAAGACTTGAGCTTTCTGCCTGTGGATGCTGCCGAGGAAGCATCGTTAAAGTCTCTCTTCCCACCATCGTCATGTCTAAGTCCGAGTCTCCTAAAGAGCCCGAACAGCTGTGGAAGCTATTCATTGGAGGGTTGGGTTTTGAAATGACTGATGAGAGTCTAGAAGCCATTCTGAGCAATGGGGAAAGCTCACAGACTGTGTGGTAATGAGATGTCCAAATATCGAGTGATCCAGGGGCTTTGGGTTTGTCACATATGTGACCGTGGAGGAGGTAGACGTGGCAATGAATGCAAGGCCACACCTGGTGGATGGAAGAGTTGTGGAACCAAAGAGAACTGTTTCCAGAGAAGATTCTCAAAGACCTGGTCCCACTTAACTGTGAAAAAGATCTTTGTTGGTGGCATTAAAGAGGAAACTGAAGAATATCACTTAAGAGCCTATTTTGAACAGTATGGGAAAATGGAAGCGAGTGGAATCATGACTGACCGAGGCGGTGGCAAGAAGAGGGGCTTTGCTTTTGTTACGTTTGATGACCACGATTCTGTGGATGAGATTGACATTCAGAAATACCATACTATGAATGGCCACAACTGTGAAGTAAGGAAAGCCCTATCAAAGCAAGAGATGGCCAGTGCTTCATCCAGCCAAACAGTGGTTCTGGAAACTTTGGTGGGTGTCATGGAGGGGGTTTTGGTGGAAACGACAACTTTGGCCACGGAGGAAACGTCAGTGGTCATGGTAGCTTTGGTGGCAGCTGTGGTGGTGGTGGATATGGTGGCAGTGGGGATGGCTACAATGGATCTGGTAATGATGGAAGCAATTTTGGAGGTGGTGGAAGTTACAATGATTTTGGCAATTACAACAATCAGTCATCAAATTTTGGACCCATGAAAGGAGGCAATTTTGGAGGGAGAAGCTCTGGCCCTTATGGTGGTGGCAGCCAATACTTTGCCAAACCACGAAACCAAGGTGGCTATGGTGGTTCCAGTAGCAGTAGCTATGGCAGTGGCAGAAGGTTTTAATTATTCCCAGGAAACAAAGCTTAGCAGGAGAGGAGAGCCAGAGAAATGAGAGGGAAGCTACAGGTTACAACAGATTTGTGAACTCAGCCAAGCACAGTGGTGGCAGGGCCAGGCTGCTACAAAGAAGACATGTTTTAGACAATACTCGTGTATGGGCAACTTGAGGACTGTATTTGTGACTAATTGTATAATAGGTTATTTTAGTTTCTGTTCTGTGGAAAGTGTAAAGCATTCCAACAAAGGGTTTTAATGTAGTTTTTTTTTTTTTTGCACCCATGCTGTTGATTGCTAAACGTAATAGTCTGATCATAACACTGAATAAATGTGTCTTTTTTTTTTTAATGTGCTGTGTAAAGTTAGTCTACTCTGAAGCCATTTTGGTAAACTTTCCAAAAGTGTGAAGCTAGAATACCTTCAGGGTGATGCCAGGTTCTATTTGAAATTCATTTGCAACCTGCCTGGGTGAAGAAGCCATTGTCTTCAGAAACCTTGGTGTAGTTGAACTGAGGGTTACTGTTGTGACCTGAAGCTCACCATTTAAAGGGGTCATCCAAGGAAAATCATGTAATTATTGATTATAAAGGTGATTGTTGGCATATCCTATGCAATATATCTAAATGAATAATGGTACCAGATAAAATTACAGATGAGAATGAAGCTTGTGAATCTACCATTATCATGTGTAATCAATAAATGATTTAATTCTATTGAATGAAAAAAAAAGAAAGAAAAGAAAAGAGTTGAGTCAGCCAAGCCAGGCACCACCCTGCATGGGCACCTGCTCAGTGGTGTCTTATTGAGCCACCTGCCTGTGTGGGCTCTATCCACACTGTATGACTGTGCATACTTCCCTAGGGAGGTCTTCCCAGCAGGGGCTTCTTAAGTGGAACCTCTGGGCTGAGTTAACTCTGTCGAATTGATGGGGGTGAAAGGGAAAGGAGGGGGAACAGCAGCATTCCAGGCAGAGGGATAGCACAGCAGGGAGAAGAGTGGGGGCACAAGATGGAAAGCAGGACAGGGAGGGAGACACAGCTGCAGACGTGGGCAAGAGCACGATCATGGAAGGTCTTATGTCCTAGGAGATGTATTTTGGGCTACAAGAAGCCACTTCAGAGTTTTTCTGTTTTTGTTTTCTTTAAGACAGTCTCACTCTGTTACCCTGGGTAGAGTGCTGTGGCATCACAGCTCACAGCATCCTACAGGCATCTACCACAACACCTGGCTATTTTTAGAGATGGGGTCTGACTCTTGCTTAGGCTGGTCTCAAACTCTTGAGCTCAGGTGATCTGCCTGTCTCAGCCTCCCAGAGTGCTAGGATTACAGGTATGAACTACCTTGCCTGGCCTTTAGAGTTTTTGACAAAAAAGGGACTGCATGTTTTTTCTCTGGCAGCTACATAAAAGAGATTTGAGCTGAGCCTTACTGGAGTTGGAAAACATGATGCTCAGGAGAGAAAATAGCCTGAGCAGGAGAAGACTTAGGAAAAGTTGTACATAAGAGTGTCAAGGCTGCATGATGGCTATACTCACATCATACTGAGTATTCACTACATGCCAGGCACTGTGCTAATAAAATACATCTTAATAAAACTTTACACCACCATGAGGTATGAAATACTGTCCTCATGAACAGATGAAGAAGTGGAAGTGGTTTGGAAAACTTAGACTGGTGGATGCAGCTTTCACTCGGGAGCCTCCATCTTAACCACCATGCAGGAAAGCTCCCCAGTAGTTGGGGTTAGAGAGGCAGAGGGGTCTAGATTACTCCTGTACCCACCCAGCGGTCTTTGGCTCCTGTCCTTCCTCTCAGCCTTTGGAGAATTACCAGGCCAGCCTGTTCCTTCTATACTCTCGGAATTGTTTATTAGAAAAGGTGCCAAGGCCAAGGTTTCTTGCATAGGTCCCTGAGGAAATGGAGACAGATAACACAGGAAGACAAGCAAGTTGTAGGGAAGATGGATTCAGTTTGGGACTCTGGTCTGTGCTGTCAAAAAGTGCCAGTTTATAGGGCTGGAATGAAGAACATCGCGTCTCTCTGCAGCCTCGCCCCCTTCTTCCTCCTGAGCCATATTACAGGCCCTGGCACACTTCCCTCTGTACGTTCTGACTCCGCTCTCCTGTCCTCCAGGGCAAGGGTGAAAAGGCTGTCCTAAGAGGAAGCCCCAGGTCCGGGAAGCAGCCTGCAGGGAGACAAGGCTGAGAAGTCTGTGGCAGTCAAGGGCTGGGACTGGCGGGCTCCAGCCAGCACGCTCTCGGGTTCTGATGCAGGGGCAGATGTTAGGAGGCCGGCTAGGCTCTGGGGACCACGTCCCCTCAAGTCAGGGTTTTGGTGTCAAGCCCAACCTGCCAACTTGGAGCTTTCAGGGTCAGCATGAACAAATTTCCAGGACCGCATGGACTCTGACAGGGCCTAAGATCACAGGTGAGGGGTGTCGGTGTGACAGGAGTGAGGCTGATGACAGGGACTGTGGGGAGTCCACGTGGAGGCCTTTGATTCTCAGCTCGGCACTTTGGTGGGAGGCCTCTATGTTCGTGGCCTGCTGGGCTCCCATGTGTGGGACGAGAGTGATGGACCCTCTGTTCTCCAAGAGTCAGGAATAATAAGCACTTTGTTCTTCAGAAACACCACGGTCCTTTCCTTCTCACTTTGCCACAGGGGAAACGCTACGGGCTAGAGAAAACATCAAAGCCAGCCCAGGAACTTAGGGACTTCTGGCAAGGAGGTTGGAACTAAGTGTTCTGATGACACCAGAGGGGAAGAGACCCAACAGCAATGTCTCTTTCCTCCCACCCATCCAATCCCCTCAGCACAGGGGGTCCTCAGCACCCCAGGGGGAACGCCCTCCTCCCCCACTGGTCTTTACCCAGAAACCCTTCTGGCCTCTTCTCACTGCTGGGCTTTCCTTGACCTCAGGCAAGAAGAACCCCAGCACTCACCCAGCGGTCTTCAGCTCCTATCCTTCCTCCCAGCCTTTGGGGAATTACCAGGCCAGCCTGTTTCTTCTATACTCGCTGAATTGTTTATTAGAAAAGGTGCCAAGGCCAAGGATAATTGGGAAAAGCCTCTCACTGGAGGACCAGTGAGCATTTATCCTGCAAGTGTGGCAGCTCCTGGACTGGGTGAGGCTGAAACCCTGTGGTGGTCCAAGGGAATGGAGGGATGGCTGAAGGCAGCTGATTAGCCGGGTGGCCTTGGGCAAGCAGCTCCTCTTTCTGGGTCATGAGGACTTGGGTGGGACAACTTTTGAGGTACCGTCCTAGAGGGTAGGGAAGGTACACAAGGAAGGTTGGGGAATGCTAAAGGTTCTGGGAAGGGACAGACAGCCACTCTAGGCTCACCCCTGCCTCCAACCACCTTAACTCTACCAGCAGGAGGAATGGCACCAGTGCTGGCCCAGATCCTTGTCTTCCAGCTGGTTTGGGGGCCAATCTTGGCGGAGGACATGAAGGAGCAGATTTTCATCCACAACTTCCGCACTTTACACATAGACTACCCCAGGGTCAGCTATCCAGAAGGTTTCCTGGGCTACTGTAATGGTCTGATGGCCTATGTGCGGGGCAGGAAGCAAAGCGAGCATTGCCCAGTGATCCACTACGTGGTACATACACCTTGGCATACCATTGCGAAGACCTGTAAGCACAGTGAGAGCTTCTGCGAAAACTACAATGAATACTGCACCCTCACCCAGAAAGCCTTCCCGCTCACAATCTGCACCCTGGCACTCGAACAGCCACCTACCAGCTGCCACTACAATAGCACCCTCAGCAGCCGAAAGCTCTACCTGCTGTGCTCTCGCAAGTATGAGGGTGAACCAATAGGCATCATTGGCTACTTTTAGGGAATTTAATTGCTGAGCCACCCTCCATGCTCCCCTACCTCTGTTTCAAGGCAGCCTGTCCCCATTTCCAAAACTCCAATGCCTATAATACTTCTTCCTAACTCTGAGGCAGGCAGGTGTGAAAATGTCCACGGCTTTGATCACCATGCAAAGTTGTCTTCTAAGAGCTTTCCAACTTGTTTACCAATCCCCACCCCCATCCTCCTTCTCTGAGACACAGTAAAACCCACCCAAGAAGCTTACTGTGTCCACTTGGCAGTCACCGTCCACCACTGGGCCAGATCCTAAATCCTGGATGGAGGCCCAGGGCCTCAGCTCACACCATGGCAACAGGCACCAGCCCTGTGTCTCACCTCCCAGCCCCACCACCCTTCTTTGGCTCGGCTTCCCCATTTCCCTCATAAAGCCTTCCTCTCACCCACCCCCACACTGGGTAACTCTACTGCAGGAAGCTCCCTGAGGCCCTCACACTCACTTTGGCCTCACTTCCCCACAGACTTCTCAGTTTCCAGCCTGCTCCTTTCTGTGAAATCATTGCTTCTCCCTTCATGCCACTGTCCTTCCCTCCATCCTCCCGCCACGAGCCCAGTGCTGTCTCTGTCCCAATAGCCTTTAGTCACCCTGCCTTCCCTTCTCCAACCTCTTCTCCTGCCTTCTTTCTCACCTTAGCTCACTGGAGTTTCAAGGCATCATCTCGCCTCTACCCTCTGAAGGTTCCTGCTTCCCTTGCTCCTCCCAAATCCCCAGACTCCAGGGTCTGCCCATAACCAGGCAGCAGATGAGCCAGGTCCACCTCTGGTCATGTAAAGTTTGTGTGTATGTCTCTGTGTGTGTAAACCGCTAGATACTGATGGTCACGCAAAGTTTTAAAACCACATGTGAATTATATGAGATATAACCATTGGGAGAAACGAGTAAAGGGCACAGGAGACTTCTCCATATTATTTTTTGTAATTTCCCGTGAATCTGTATTCATTTCATGATTAAAAAGTTAAAAGCACACATCTGACTCCATTCTGATTTAACTCCTTTCTCCGCAGGGCAGCACAACTCCTGCTCTCAGAGTCCTGGTAGCCACTCATCTCTGGCCACCTTCCTGGGCTACCTGTGGCAGCCAGGAAGAGCTGCTGTTCCATGTGGACCATGATTGAGGTGAGGTGGGTAAAACTCACTTCTGGGCTGAGTGTTGAAAAGGGATTGCCACAGGGCGTGGTGGTTCACTCTGTAATCCTAGCACTTTGGAGCCCAGAGGTGAGTGGATTGCTTGAGCTCAGGAGTTCCAGAAGAGCCTGAGCAAGAGCAAGACCCTATTCCTACTAAAAATAGAAAAAAACTAGCCAGGCATAGTGGAGGGTGCCTGTATTTCTAGCTACTTGGGAGATTGAGGCAAGAGGATCTCTTGAGCCCAAGAGTTTGAGTTTACTGTGAGCTAGGTTGATGCCATGGCATTCTGTGCTGCTTGACAGTGTAAAAACAAAGATGGGGGGGATTCTCCCTTCCCCCAGTTATAGAACAATTAGTAATAGGAGTCAGGCTACCCCAGCTGGCTTCCATTTCTCTTTCAACAAAACCTGGATTGCCATGTGGATGGGCAGGGGAGGGTCTAATGAGTGGCATCTGGGTCAACATATATCCAATCAGGAGCTTCTACTCCCTTTGACCTCACTTCCCCACAGACTTCTCTGTTCCCAGCCTGCCCCTTTGTGACATCATTGCTTCTCCCTTCATGTTAGTAACATGTGGACTCAAGTAGCAAATACTTTTGTCTTCACATTGGGTTTATCTCATCTCCAAATATACCCTCTAGTCCTGTTCTTGTTGATGGGATAGCTAACTTACGGCTGGCTTGTGGGGCTAAGCAGATGAGAGCGTGTGTGGCTGAGGACCCTGACTCCCTGGACCGTCTCTTCTCCCTCTCTCCACACTGGGGCCCATCTGTGCCTCACCCTCATTGAACAGAACTCATTAGCTGCTGCACACTCAGATGTTTATTGTTTCCCCAGCTCCCTGGTGGTAAAGATGCAGGGTCAGGGGGCTACTAGGTTAAGATGAAACTCCTATCTAGTTCTTCTTGTCGTATGTGCCAGCGCCTTGTAGTCACTCACGCAGCCTGAGTTATCAGTCGTCTCTTTCCGTCCTGCGATGCCCTTGCCCTTGCCACTCTCATCAAAGCGCTCCTTGTGGCTGCTGGTGTACTTGCTGGTGTCAGTCAGATGGTCCACTGCACCCACTGTTGTTGCTTTCTATGGGTCAAATAATGGATTTGAGCCCTCTTCCTCCCCCTCCCCAAGATGGCCTTGAGATACTTAGAACTAGTGCTTAGAGCTCTTACTCTGCCTTGGGCATGGGACCACTTCTCTTAGGGCCCAGATGCAGCTGTAGGCAGGTGCTCTAGCCAGAGCCCTGCACTCATAAGGGAAGGGGAGTCCAGAACACAGAGGGAAGGAGAATTTTTCTCTTTCCAGAGGAGTTATTTTGATCAGGCTGCTGCGAGAGGACCTCATTCCTAGACCCAACATGAGATAGAAAGAGCTTTTAGCACAGAGGGGACAATAAAGGCAGAGAGTAGGTGAGAGGCAGGAGGCCACAGATTAAGCCTTAAGTGAGACTAGGAAGAGGAGTAGGGATCCGGTTCCAAGTCCTCTACACTAATGCCCTCAAAAGCCACCAAACCCTAGTTGTCTGGCTCAGATCCTGGAGACTTGGGAGTGAGTCTGAATCTACTATTAAAATGGCTACAGACTTTGGGCAAGTCACTTCCCCTCTCTGGGCCACATCTTCCTTACCTCTGAAATGACTAGATGATTTCTAAAGTCTGTTTCCAGCACTAACAGTGGATCATATGGTTTTCGTCCCTACAGTCACAACTATTGGCAGGGTTAGGGACCCTGGAGGGCAGGAGGTGAGACTAGAACAGTAGAAATATAGAGAAATAGAGTCCAGGGGTAGAGGTAAAGACTATTACTCACAGTTATTGGGCAGCTGGACTCTTGCCCTCCATGAGTTTATAAATGTCTTGTAGGCCTTCGTCTGGGCTCTTTTCCTTGAACCGCTTTTGGGCCAGTTCCTTCATTGCTTCTGTGAACTGCTGAAATGTGATGGCTCCCCCATTCTTGGCCCTGGTCAATCAGACAAAAATCCTGGAACTTTATAGAATGAACTCATTATCTTCCAAGGCCCTTCCCTTACTAATGATTGGCCTCTTTCGTCCCATCACCATGTGTCTCAGAGAATAACACAGTGCTGACACCCTGTAAGGGCTTGGTAGGCCCACCGCACCATTCTGTGGTGAAGGTGACCCTCCCATGGCTAGCTACCTTGCTCGTTCTCCTCACCCCTACCCCTGTGTCTGTGATTCCTCACTTGACTTTGTTGAACGCAGTATCCACATCTGTGGTGGTGACTGTCTTCCCATCTATGATGCCACAGTCTTTGCACAGCTTGGAGAAGTTCTTGTTGTTTATTTCAGTGCCATTGCTTGAGGAGTCTTCAAAGACAGCGAACTTCTTGAATGTTTTCTCTGCTTCAGATGCCATGGTCAGCTAGAGGTTGGGGAGGGCAGTAGCGAGGAAGACTCAGGGGTGAGAAGGGAGGACTGACAAGTAATGATGATGAGGGTTAAGAGTAAATCAGTTAGCAAGAGAAACAAATCCCCTTGTCCCTGCCACTCCCTCCTCTATACCCCTCACCCGCCATGCCACCTACCACAACCATAACATGAACCTCCCCTTTCCAGCATTCCCAGATCCTATATACTGAATAATCTCCCATTCCCCCATCACCTTTGGGTACCTAAGAGTGCCTGGATGGTATCTGACCCTTCCTAGGCTTTGTAGGTATGTGTAGATATGTGTAGGAGGCAGCTGGCTGGGGAGACTGGGTGGCAATGAGGAGACAGAGGGGAGGATGGGTAAGCTTCTATGACCTCAGCACTGCTTATGTGACATCAGTGGCCTTAGCTACAGCTCCTGGCCTTAGCTACAGCCCCTGCCTTTGCAGGAAGGCTTATGGTCTCCTTACTTTGCATAGTGAACTGAACAAGTTGCCAACCCTCTGACCTTTTACATGACCAAACTTCCATCATTTCAGCCCAGCTTATCAATCCTCTGGGTCCTGGTCAAACTGCCTTCTGCTCTCCCCCACAACAAAAGCTGAGGCAAGCCCAGGGAAAGTGCTTTAGCCCATTTGGCTGCTATAACAAAATATCATGAACTATGTGGCTTATAGACAATAGAAAATTATTTCTTACAGTTCTAGAGGCTGACGAGTCTACGATCAAGGTGCTGGTAGATTCAGTGTCTGGTGAGGGCTACTTTCTGGTCCATAGGTGAAGCCTTCCTGCTGTGTCCTCTCATGGAGGGGGTAAATAAGCTCTCTTGGGCCTATTTATAAGAGCACTCCTCCTAATACCTAATACCATCATCTTGTTGTGACTACTAATGGAATTTTCTTCATAAAATCTTTGATTTCATCAAAAACTCATATCATCAAGAGTTTTTCCCATGATTTTTTCTAGGATTTTTTATTGTTTTGTGTCTTAGATTTAAATCTTTTAGCTATTGTGAGTCAATTTTTGTAAGTGGTAAAAGGTGTGGGTCCAGTTTCAGTCTTTTACATGTGGTAATAATACCATCATCTTAGAAGTTAGGATTTATTTATTTATTTATTTATTTGGAGATAAGAGTCTCATTCTGTTGCCTAGGCCATAGTGTCGTGGCATCAGTCTAGCACACAGCAATCTCAGACTCCTGGGTTCAAGTGATCCTGCTGCCTTGGTCTCCCAAGTAACTAGGACTACAGGCACCTGCCACTATGCCCCAGTAATTTTTTTCTATTTTTTGTAAAGACAAGGTCTTGCTCTTGCTCTTTCTCAGGTTGGTCTTGAACTCTTGAGCTCAAGTGATCCTCTTGCTATGGCTGCCAGAGTACTAGGATTTCAGGCATGAGCCACCACACCTGGCCAGAAGTTAGGATTTTAATGTATAAATTTTAAGGGGATA